ATGCACAAGGCCCTGGGTTTGATTCCTCAGCACCACATAAGCAAAAAGAAAAAAGCCAGAAGTGGCGCTGTGGCTCTAGTGGTAGAGTGCTAGCCTTGAGCTGAAGAGCTGAGGGACAGCACCCAGGCCCAGAGTTCAAGCCCCATGACCAGACCCAAAAAAAAAAAAAAAAGTCAGGTGACCTGAATTTCAATCCTACCACTCCTAACACTGACTTTGAACAAGCCACTGAACTCTACATTTCTCCCTCTCCTTGTCTGGTTGCCTCAAGATCCCCACAAGGCTGAGTGTGTGATCATGGTATAAGCCTAGATAGATTTACACAAACGGTAAGTTTTCCTCAAGAGCACTTTCCTTGCTGTTACTTTAGATGTATGAGAACTTCGTGGAGGAGGTGGATGCTGTGGACAATGGAATCTCCCAATGGGAAGAGGGGGAGCCTCGATATACTCTGACCACTACTCTGAGTGCCCGCGTGGCTCGGCTTAACCCCACCTGGAACCAGCCCAACCAGGACACCGAGGTATGGAGAGCCCCTGGGAAGGAACCCTGAGGTGGTATGTAAGATCCTCAGAAGGAACACTATAAAGTTTGGGCCAGCACCAAGGTTCTGATTCCCAGCATTCTCAGGCAGGCTTCAAGCGCGCAATGGACCTGGTTCAAGAGGAGTTCCTGCAGAGACTAGATTTCTACCAGCACAGCTGGCTGCCTGCCCGGGCCTTGGTGGAAGAGGCCCTGGCCCAACGATTCCAGGTATTGGCTTGGGAGGAGGACACATTGTGGCTTTGGGATTAGTGACAGCTGGTAGACAGCTGCTTCTATCCAGACCTAGCCAGACCCTACTTCCTTTTCAGGTGGACCCAAGTGGGGAGATAGTGGAGCTGGCAAAAGGCGGATGCCCCTGGAAAGAACATCTATTCCACCTGGAATCTGGGCTATCCCCACCAGTAGCTATCACCTTTGTTATCTACACTGACCAGAATGGACAGTGGAGAGTCCAGTGTGTACCCAAGGAGGCCCACTCTTTCCAAAGCCGGTAAGTAAGGCCCCAGGAACCATCGTGCACCCCTTCGTGATGTTTCATTTGTTCTCCTCTCAGCTCCTCGGGCCTCCATTTGCTCCCAATTCTCTTTCCGCTCACTTGTAGGCTGCCTCTGCCAGAACCATGGCGGGGTCTTCGGGATGATGCTCTGGACCAGGTGAGTGGGATCCCTGGATGCATCTTTGTCCATGCCAGTGGCTTCATTGGTGGTCACCGCACTCGAGAGGGTGCCTTGAGCATGGCCCGTGCTACTCTGACCCAGCGCACAGCAACTATGCCTCCTCCTGAAAATCCTCCAAGCCAATAAAACCTCCATCTCCTACTAGCCTGGTCTCTGTCCCATTATTGCCCCCCCACCATCTGTGCTCGGATGTGGGGACAACAAAACGTATGTTAGAGGTGAGACCTACCTCAGTATTTACATGACCATTTCTCGCCTTTTTTCTTCTAAATAACAAATAGCTTAGAGATGACAGAACAGGATCTTAACTCGTCAAAGTCCCATGCCTTTTCCCTCACTATACCCAGTGTAACTCCTTGGAAAACAGAATCACATGGAAGACAAACTTTTATTAGAGGTGAGGGTGAGGGGAGTACGGCTGACCAGATGGCCCCGGAAGAGAGTCCCAAGGGGCAGAGGTTGGGGATGTCTCTGTAAAGAGTGGCAGCTCATGAACAGAGCCTCCACCTCCGGCTGGGGGCTCTTGGGTCCGGCCAATCACTGGGCTAAACCGTGGAAACTGGGCATTGACAAAGTAGAGAGGGATGTGGGCAATCCGGCCTGTGGACCAGCACTGTGGGGAGAAGAGAGAAAAGTATCAGAGCCTGGGCCCAAAGGTACCCTCATGGCATCGTGGCAGAACCACACGGCAGCTAAGGCCCTGGGCTTCCCCAACTCACCCGAAAGCCGGGCAGCCAGGCAGACTTACCACACTGAGCAAGGCTCCTTTGTTGAAGGAAGGATGGAAAGTGATGAGCTGGGCCTGGGCTCCTGGCTCCCCCTGGATGATGCCACTAGGCAAAGAGAGAAATGGATAAGAGAAAGCGGGTGTCATTTGGTTTTGTATGGGATGGTGGAGGCCAGGACCCACACTTACCAGGGAAGAAGCTCAAACACAGGGCTGTTTCGGGTACGAAAAAGGAGGATGACTGGTTTCCCATCCTGCACCCGTGGGTTGCCTGTAAGAAACGGGCCTTGGGTGGGGGAGGGGGCTCCAGGCAGAGCTCCAGGGCAGGGGCAGAAAACAGCAGCCAGGCGTAGCACACTCCATTATGGGAAGATGAGTGGCCTAAGAGCCCTTCCTGGGCTGGGAAGGTGGTTCAGTGGTAGAGTGCTTGCCTTGCACGTATGAGGCCCTGGGTTCCATTCCTCAGCACAACATAAGCCGAAAAGTGGCACTGTAGTTCAAGTGGTAGAGCACTAGCCTTGAGTTGAAGAGCTGAGGGACAGCCCTCAAGCTGAGTTGTTTGTTAACAAAAATAGCCCTTCCTCTCCTCTTACCTTTCATGAGCACAGCCAAGCGCTCCCCACTGGGGTCCCAGACCATGGAATGGGCCTCTCCTCCAAGCCTGTGGGTGAGGACAAGAGGTCAGGGGCACTCAGTGCGACCCCTCTTGCCAATCCAGTACACTCAACTCACCTCTGCTCACCATCTAGGGTCTGTATTGTTGTCTCAGACAGATCTGCCACAATCGTTGCTGATTTTGCACCTCCAACACGCCCTTTTCCCTCACCTGTGGACAAGGACAGAGGCTCTTGGTACGGGAAACAGCTCTCCTCCCCTGCCAGCTCATCACAGCTACATCTCAAAGTCTCAGGTTCTTTAGTGTGTGCTAGCACTCAACCTGGTGTTATACTTCAGGCTTTTTTTGGGGGGGGCGGGGGGAGGGCGTAGTTCATTGGAGCTAAGTCTCATGGATTTTCCTGTTCAGGCTGGCTTTGAATTGTGGTCCTCAGATCTCTGCCTTTAGCCCTCTGAATAGTTAGGATTACAGGCTTGAGCCACCAGGCCCAGCTTCTCAGTTTATGTTTTCCTTTATTGCTGAGTAGCAACCTACAGGTTACTGCCTCCCTCCGGCCTCCCCCGGATGGCCTGCATTCTGAATTAATGCATTAACTCACCACAACGGTCTGGGAATGACAGAGAGTAAATCAATGGCTCCCCTAATACTGTGAACAGCAGTCGGTTTCCATCTGGGCTCCAGCAGCCAGTCTAGGGGAAGGAAGCACAAGGGAGAAGGGAGGTCTAGATGAGCTTTCAGGAGGGGAAAAGAAGTAAAGGAGGTAGGGAGCCAGGCCTAGGGATCAGAGGCTCATTAAAATCACCTCCCCAGCTTCTGGGATCATTCATGCCCTCTTACCTGACAGCGCCCTGACAGTGTAGGCCATCTCTCACAAGTCCACATCTGGGCCTCCCAGACTCTTGAGCCAAAGATAGGCAAATGACAGATGAGGGCTTCCAGGCTCCAAAAGGTAGTTCAACCTCCCAGCAATCCTAGTGTCAGATCCCAGGAGAAAATGCCTTTCTCTCAGTCCTTGCCCTCCCTTAACCCTTCTCCCACTCACCGAAAGACAGGTGAAGGAGTAGTGGCTAAGACTTTGCTGCCATCTGGGGACCAGAGCAGGTTGGTAACTCCACCTCCTCGAAACCATGGGAGGGGGACACAGATCTCTGTCGAAATATCCCATACCTAGGAGAGAGGACAGGAGAGGGAGACAAGAAACTCAAGCACCTATCTGCTCATGTGAGCTGCTGCCTTCTTAAACGTATAAAAAAACAGAAAGGGGAGAAGGCAGGAAAGGGATTCAGGCTTAGGTTTACAGCGATAGGCGTTTTTGGAGCTGAGGAGTCCCATGTGGTGAGGCTCTTCCCCTGGCAAGCTGAAGAATGGAAAATAATCCCCCTCTTTCCCCTATGATACTTTCTAACGTGAAGAAAGCTCTTTTCAAGAGCTGAAGTGGTGAGAGAGCTAGAGATGGACTCACCAGGATAGCAGCATCCACAGGGGAAGCGGAGAGCAGCCTTCCCCCACTGGGTGCCCAGGCCAAGCTGGTGACAGGTGTGTGCCCAGGATGAGACAACACTTGGGCACAGCCAGAAGAAGGCCTGCCAAGGGGAAATGGAGGAGTCAGAAGACAGCAAGAATGGCCTCGTGATTGCTTGTCCTTGCTTCTGTTAGAACCTCCCAGTCCCAATGGCCCCTCGGAGTTCATAGCTAGGTTGAGGAAAAGGCATAGGGATTACATATGTTAAAGATGGAAACAAGTGAAGGAAGGAAATCCTGACTGGGAGGTGATTGAGATCAGGAGTCTACAGAGAAGGAAGGTGAAGTCTTGTAGCTCCTGACCAGTGATGCTAGAAGGGGCTGCACTGGCAAGAGTCATGCCACACCCATGATCCCAGATCACCCATGGTATACCACAAGGCTTCAACTCCCTCTTCTCCACGTTTCCTACCATTCCCCAAAACATGGGATCTAGGGGCTGGGAAGGTGGCTCAGTGGTAGAGTGCTTGCCTTGCATGCATGAGGCCCTGGGTTCAATTCCTCAGCACCACATACGCAGAAAAAGCCGGAAGTGGTGTTATGGCCTAAGTAGTAGAGCACTAGCCTTCAGCTGAAGAGCTGAAGGACAGAGCCCAGGCCCAGAGTTCAGGCTCCACAACCAAGGAAAAAAAAAAAAGGGATCTGAAATGGCCTTTCCTTGTCAGTATCTCTCCCACCTCGGTTTACTCATACTGCTGCTTATAAAGATGGTAGGCTGGAGGCATGGCAAGTAGAGAACCTGCCTAACAAACATAAGGCCCTGAGTTCAAACCCAAGTATTGCCAAAAAAGAAAAAGAAAAGTAAAATCATAAAGAATCTATATGTGCTCTGTATACTTTAAGTTAAAAAAACCTGGGCACAGAGCTAGGAAGGTGGCTCAGTGGTAGAGTGCTTGCCTTGCATTGCATGCATGAGGCCCTGGGTTCGATTCCTCAGCACCACATGAGCAAAAAGAAGAAAGCCGGAAGTGGTGCTGTGGCTCAAGTGGTAGAGCACTAGCCTTGAGCTGAAGAGCTGAGGGACAGCGCCCAGCCCAGAGTTCAGGCCCCAGGACCGGACCAAAAAATAAATAAATACATTGGAGCCAGGTGCTGATGACTCACGCCTGTAATCCTAGCTACTCAGGAGGCTGAGATCTGAGGATCACAGTTCAAAGCCAGCCTGGGCAAGAAAGTCTATGGGACTCCTATCTCCAATTAACCACCAGAAAACCAGAAGTGGCACCGTGGCTCAAGTGGTAGAGTGCTCGCCTTGAGCTGAAGAGCTGAGGAGGGACAACACCCAGGTCCAGAGTTCAAGTCCCATGACTAGGAAAATAGAAAAGCTCATGGACAGTGCCCAGGCCCTCAGTTGAAGCCCCAGGACTGGCAAAATAAGTAAATAAATCAACAAATATTTCTGAAGTTATATCATTCTATAGTCTAAACAATGTTTAACTTCCAATTTTCTTCGCTTTTACTGGATACAATTAAACATTGATTTTAGTAATTCTATCATCCTGAATAGACTAGAAATATATTTTTTTTTTTTTTGGCCAGTCCTGGGGCCTGAACTCTGGGCCTGGGCGCTGTCCCTCAGCTCTTCAGTTCAAGTCTAACACTCTACCACTTGAGCCACAGTGCCACTTCCAGCTTTTTCTGCTGATGTGGTGCTGAGGAATCGAACCCAGGACCTCACGCATGCAAGGGGCAAGCATTCTACCACTGAGTCACCTTCCCAGCTCCGAAAAGAAATACTCTTTTCTTATATATTCACATTTAGTTTTTTTGCCTGCTTGAAGGTTATTTTGTATATAAAGTGTGAAGCGGTTCACTACATCATCTGTAATTCCAGCACTTGGGTGGATGAGGCTGTAAAGCCACCCTAGACTACAAAGTAAGACCATGCCTAAAAATCAAACAACAAAGAGAAAAACCTAGGGGCTGTTATTATCCTGAAATATAAGAATCTGTCTCAGCTGGGAGCCAGTGGCTCATGCCTGTAATCCTAACTACTCAGGAGGCTGAAGATCATGGTTCAAAGCCAGCGTGGGCAAAAAAGTCCATGAGATTCTTATCTCCGATAACCCACCAGAAAACCAGAAGTGGCCCTGTGGCTCAAGAGGCAGAGTACTCACCTTGAGCTGAAGAGCTCAGGGACAGTGCCCAGGCCCAGTAGTTCAAGCTCCAGGACCAAGCAAAAAAAGAAAACAACAAAAAACAAAAAAGCCATGGCTTAAAGAAGCCAGCCCTGTGAGACAAATCCTCAAGATTGTTATCCTCCAACCA